GTGAGGTCCCTCCCATTTTTGTCCTTTATCATGTCCATCTTTGCATAAAACATTCCTTTAATATCTCCAATTTTCTTAAACAGATATCTGGTTTTTCCCTATTATTTTCGTCTATTTCTTTGCACTGTTCATTTAAGAAGGCGCCCTTGTCTCTCCTTGCTATTCTTTGCAAGTCTGCATTCAATTTTCTGTAACTTTCCCTATCTCCCTTGCATTTTGTTTCCCTTTTTTTTCCTGCTATTTCTAAGGCCCCGTTGGACAGCCACTTTGCTTTTTTGCATTTCCTTTTCTTTGGGATGGTTTTTGTTGCTGCCTCCTGTACAATGTTATGAGCCTCTATCCAAAGTTCTTCAGGCACTCTGTCCACCAAATCGAGTTCCTTAAATCTGTTCTTCACTTCCACTGTGTATTCATAAGGGATTTGTGTAGTCATAAGGATATAGTCCTTATTAATTACGCAAATATAATTATGTGTTTAATAAGATCTCATGCATCATCATAATTACCTGACATGATAATCCTTTCCATTTCAACAGATACATTTAGCTTATATAGAATGTAATCAGATGGGCAATAAGCCTACTGTTTGGACCACTGTGGAGATGGGTTAGCTTGCTGGAGCAAGCAAAATAAACTCCAGAATGATCCTACCCACACTTCTCTGACCCCTGTCAGGGAATTCTACTTTTTGGTCTGAGAAGAATAACTCTGATTTGATCTCTTTACCAATGTGTGTGATCACTGGAAATAAACCAGAAACGAACCTTCCTCTCGATTTGCCAATATCATGAAGTGGCTTAAGAAAAAAATCACATCATGATACTGGCTAATTAAACTCTTCCTCTGCTCCTCAGCAGAGAGGCTGGGGAAGTGCAAAAAAATTAGACTCAATTAGGGCAGAGAAAATGTACTCTGTAAATTTAAAAATATAAGACAATTCCAAAATTTCCTTCCACAAGTAGAAAGAGAGAGTAGGGGTTAATGAGGGGGATTTTTGTTTGATTATCTCGTAAAGGTCCAGCTGAGAGCCTGCCAATTTGGCTGTGGGCATGTTTTTGACCATACCTTTAAGAGAAAAGTATATTTGGTATATATCAAATGTATGTGGAGGGACTGAGGAAGTGAAAACTAAAGTGAGTGTATTAGATACATGTATTTTTTCAGTTTCTTGGCCCCTCCATGGAGCCAAGGAAGTGTTTAACTTGCCAATATCTCTTGTTAAGCCACTTTACCATACTGGCAAATTGATAGTGGTCTCCTGCAGAGCAAATAGAGTCATTTGTAGTCCATATTTCATTTGGATGCAAGGATCACACCAAATTGCATACTGGTCCTCCTAGTGACCCTATTTAGCTTATTATTGCCCAGTCGTATAGACAAGCCCTGAGTTACAAATTAGTTTTGCTGCATTGGATTTCACACACAATTAGCATTTTCTGTGCACCATGCAAAGTGAATTTTGTGAAAGGGATTGTTTGTTCCTGTCAGAGTTTACACAGAAGCAGCTCTCTCACCCTCTTTCCTGTCCTCTTCCATGCATTCTGCTTGCAGATGAGAGTTGCTTGATTCTCCTAGACTGCAGAAATTATCTGTAAGCATTTAGCATCTCCCTCTCTCACTTTTGGAATCCAAAATTTAATCTAAGCTTTGGAAAGTTCCTCCTTGCCATAGAGAAGATTCTACTTGCTTCTGCACAAGGCTGTTTCTGAAACCATACTTTGATAATGACATTTAAGAGGGCAGCTTTTAACATGCAATTGTGGATATCGAATTTCATGCTGACTTTATTCCATGGCTACCACTAGTTGTTGGAGAAAAAGGCAAAGATTGTTGTATAGTATGGTACAAAAATTTGATACTAAATTATATGAGAATTATTTCTCTGGAGTCTCATGAACAAGAGAAGAAGAAGCCTGAAAATTAAGTCAACAGCCCATTGCAATATGCTTAGGTTCACAGCCAAGTACAACCTCAGATAGTAAAAGCACAGAGACAATCCTGTAAAAGCTGGAAAACACATTTAGAGTGAACAAAATGGCACAGAATTATCTGACATATAAACCAATATGGCTGCCTATATAATCAAGGACTATGTTTAGTTAATTCAATTGTGAGGAGATTTTGAACAATCCCTTCCCATACAATCATTTGACTCTACCAACTAAGAGGACATAGCTGAACTTTATAATGACAAACTCATTTTCCTTTCACAGTAGAGTTTTATTTGTCTGTAACAGATGAGACAATGTTGCTACACCTAAGCATACCTTTTTATTTCTGGAGCATGAAAGATTGGCTCAAGGTAAATCCAATTCCTTTGACAAGTCAACCACTCTTCCAGAGTAGAAGAAAAGAGATTCAGCTTACGATTCCAAGCATCCACAAGACTCTACCGCACAAGAACAGTTATAAAGTGAGTCAGTGTCAGCCTCCTTTTTGAACATCTGGATTCAGCTTATTTTAAAAAAATTTAAAGTCAACAATGTACTATATGCTGGTCTTCAGTTAGTGGATCAACATTTTATATATAAAGTATTACTATACATAAAGAACGATGGCATGACTACCTTTAGGAAGAAGAATGAAAAAAAAAGAGAGAGAGAAATTGAGAGAGAGAGAGAGAAATCAAAGCAGACAGATATGATAAAGGTAAAAACAAACATTGTGTAGGGGGCTATAACGATCGCAAAAAAACTCATCGTTAAGTGATTTCCTTGGCAAGTGGGGTAATCGTCAAGCAGGGCAGCACTGTATAATGATTGAATTGAATATTCAAAATTATCATGAAACATCTCCAAGGGACGTGGTGGCACTGTGGGTTAAACCGCAGAAGCCTATGTGCTGCAAGGTCAGAAGACCAGCAGTCGTAAGATCAAATCCACGCGACAGAGTGAGTTCCCGTCACTTGTCCCCGCTCCTCCCAACTTAGCAGTTTGAAAGCATGCATGCAAGTAGATAAATAGGGACCACCTCGGTGGGAAGGTAACAGTGTTCCGTGTCTAATCATGCTGGCCATGTGGCCATGGAAACTATCTACGGACAAATGCTGGCTCTACGGCTTGGAAATGGGGATGAGCACTGCGCCCTAGAGTTGGACACGACTGGACTAAATGTCAAGGGGAACCTTTACCCTAACTTATCTCCAAGAAAGTTTTACCTTAATGGGTCCAACAAAACAAGAACCTTTAATTGTTGAAATTGTCACTTGAGAATCTTCTAACAGCGCAATTATATCTTCAGCAGATGAAATAATCAAAGTAACAGATGTTTCAGAGTGGTGTGGAGACAAATGAAAATCAGTTTTGTGCCAAAGGGCAATGATTTTTTTCAGCATTACTTCAAGCGTTGTTTCATTGGTAGCCATTATAGACACTTCAGTTATATCTTTTTTGTATTGAAATATCTAGAAGTGAAAACAATTAGAAGTACAGTATAGTGCTATGTTAGACAAAATGCCCTACAGATTTCATGAATAACTGGTATATCTGTTTAGCTAATATATATGCTTGGAATACTGTGAACTGAACAGCTAGTAAGCATAAATTCAGTTCTACATGTTCAGCATTCCTCATGGAGAATGCACACCTCACCAGTCCATGGAATGGAAATTGCACACACATCCTAACGAATAGACAGTATAAAAGTAACAGTATAAAACTGGTGTTGCTAACTTATAAATCATATAATTACATCAAGTTCCAGAATCTTATCCAAGGTAAGTCTTTTGTCCCCAAAAACTGACTGTCCGATGATGTTCTGTATTGTTTCCCAGTGTCTTGCTTGAAGATAGGGATTCCTCAAAGACACAATGATAGGCAAAAATTCCTTGAAATCCATCAACGACTTCTTCAAAGCAGGTAAAATAGTATTTTCTGGCAAGCCTTTAAAATATGAAAGTGTTAGACACATTAAAAATAATTGTTAGAGGTTTATTTCAGATATACCTTATAATAAAAAAATCTTCTCTTTGGTGACCTTCTTATCCTTCTTTACATCACTACCTTCAAATTGGATATATTTTATTTCCCTGAATTACATATTTAATTATTTATACTTCTACTGCAAGTATACTTTTCTCACATAGTCACAAGCAAAAACTACATAGAAGTTGATGCATAATTTATTCCTTGGAGTTTAAAAAGTTAGGTTTACATTTGGCAGAATAGTCTTACAAAGACCAGAAATGTAGATTCATATTGTAAGACTTTATAAGGTATATTTTAAAACAATATATTATCATTCTGTCTTGTAATAATCAAAATGGGGCAGGATAGCCTTTACTTACTACCTCTTCATAGCTGCACTAAAGCCAAAGTACAGATTATCATGTTTAAATCTTAAAGAAAACTTTTTCTTTAATTAAATCTAATTGTTGTGACTATCAATTACTTTACCTTTTTCTAGAATGTGCATGATCTGCATGAATCTGTTAACATCTCTTTGAATTAAATCCACATCAAGATTCCAAAAAATAGTGTGTGTCCATTTAAAGTAAAGCTTCGTCCATTCTTCCTGTGCATCCCATAACAATTTAAGCACTGTTAATTCACTTTCAATTTCAGCAAGTTCTGCATTCACTCTCTGAGAATCTCCAACCTGACCTCTGTGTGACAGCTTTTCTAATGACAATGATTTCATATCACTGATGGAGCTGTCGAAAACAGTCTGGTAATTTGCATACTTTAAAATTTTTTCACTAATTACTACTGATTCTTCAATAAGGCTTTGGATAATTTCTTTAGCAGTCTTGGGCAATGTTTCACTGAGGAGAAGGACAGGATTTCTTACCTAAACAATAAAATAAATAATCAAGTTAACACAATACCAAAAGAATGCTATTTCATTTTGTCAGAAACTAGGGCTAACTGCACCAGCCATTAGAAGTGTTTTATCATACACGCATTGAGTGGAGGTATTGAGACAGTCTTCCATGGTTCATCTGAGACTAATTCAAGATTTGGCCATATTATTCAGAACTAGACTGGAAAAAAAGGAAAAGCAAAGTACCTAACCTTTTCCTATGGCTCAGAAGAATGTTGTGTGCAACAAGTCTCTAACACCAGCCACTAACATACTTTCTCCTTCTTTTGTTTACTTTTGTTTCTCACCTGTCACTATAAAGTTTAAGTGTTGCTTCCATCATCCATTTAGGTTTTCTTTTCTTTTAACTACAGTAGTCTTTTTGCATTCTTCCCTAATAATGTACTGTAGCTGGTTTCATTCCACAGTTCTCCTGATTCATGATCAATTGAGTGTAATAACACAAATTTGTTCTCCATGTGGAAATTCACTAGAAACGTTATTTATATTTTGGCACTTGGGTACTTTTAAGGAAAATGGTGAGGTAAAAATATTTTAAATAAATAGGATTAGTTTTGCTCTATTTTTTATATTAATAGTTCATGGTCACTACTGCGATCTATTGTTTTCCCCCCAGAAATAAAATACAGCTCCCTCATCTCCTGCTTCCAATTGTGTTGACTGTTTGATTTCTGTGTTGGCCATCCGGTGATATTCATATGAACAGTCATTTGTTTGGTCATATGAAGCATGCTTTTGCAATAAATAAATAAATAAATAAAGAAAGAAAGAAAGAAAGAAAGAAAGAAAGAAAGAAAGAAAGAAAGAAAGAAAGAAAGAAAATTTCGTTGTATGGGTATACTGTGTATATACTTACAATGACAATAAAATATTATTATTATTAAGAAATTGTTGACTTCACAGAATTCTATGGGTCCTTCTCCTGCTTTGTTTCTAATTCCTAGCCCAAATTCTCCAACAACATTTGGCTTGGCTTTGCTCACTACTTTTGTGTTTCAGTCAGCTATGAGTATGAGCACTCCTTTGATGTGTGATCAATTTCCTCTTGGATATTTGCATAAAAGCTTTTATTTTTCAGCAACTGTATTTGTAGCACAGATGTGAATAATAAATAAATAATAACAGTTTGATCCTGAATGCTTTCACGGCCGGAATCGGGCTGTTTGGCCGCATTCTTAAGGTAGAGTTCTCTACCCAGTCACAAGGACCGGTGATCACTGCACACAAAAGACCGGCTAACGCCATGCATCAATCACAATGACAGATCATCTTTTCCCCTTAGCACAACAATACACCAATAACAAAAAGCTGATCCCATAACTATAAATACTTAACTATCCCACAAACTGCACCAGAGCACAGACAAAATTCTGACTCCTGTCCGCTGAAGATGCCAGCCATAGAGATTGACGAAACATTAGGAAGAAAAACCTTAAGAACACGACCAAACAGCCCAAAAAACCTACAACAAACAGTTCAATCGATTCTTCAAAAAGTTTAATTGATATTATTCAATCAGACATCACATTATAACCCCTGTCTGTCCTAACTCTGGCCACTTTGTAGTTGTCTAACTCAGTGCTTCCCAACCTTGGGTTCCCAGATATTCTTGGATTGTAATATCCCAAAATCCTGGCCAGTGCAGCTAGTGGTGAAGGCTTCTGAGAGTTTCTGTCCAATAACATCTAGGGACCCAAGGTTGGGAACTGCTGGTCTCACACTTGAAAATGTCTCATGCAGTCTGCCCTAGTTTGTTCAAGTCAAGTATTTCTATTTTGAAACATTCCATTTTTACTTTACAGTCTCCGGTTTACACTGATTTATACTCCTCACATTCCATTTTCTAATTCAACGTGCTGTCTAGCACTGGACTTTCCTTTCACCCCTGCATATGTCAGCCACCAGATGTCCTTTTAGTTTTAATATAGCTGTATCCTTAGTAACAACATTACGTGTACTGGTCCTTTGCTCTTTCCCAGTAAATCGAATACTAAGCACAGAGGTGGGGCTCTCTTTGATTTCAGAGGAAGGAAGGAATGATTGATCAGTCCTGGACAGATTGACAATCAGCCACCCCAGAAATGTACCTACAGGTGGCATCTGAGGTTGTAAAAATGCAAAGAAAAGATCCTCTGCTAGTGTCACCTTCAGCTACTGCACAATAGCTGCCCTCTAGAAGTTTCTCGGCCCCCAATGGAACTATCAACTCTCTTCTGCTGATGTAGCTGTTATTCTTAGCCTGGTATCTCAGCTGTGAACATTCCACATTGGGTGATCCTGGAGAGCAATGTTCCCTCCAATTTTCTGCTAGCATTGGGTAGAGGTCCCACCCCATGCTTGTGGGGTTCCAGCCATGACCGGAACCAAAAGAGTGGCAACTCTGGCTGTCATGTACCTGCCCAGCTTAGAGGGAATATTGGTGCAGAGTCATAATGCTCTTGGTTTCTCTGACATTTTCAAACCCCTTCACAATGTTAAGGTGTAGATCCAAAATGAGTACTGGATACTTATGCATGCAAAAGGCATTGTGCACATTGTCACAGCTAACTGACAGTGTTGGCAGCATATGTAATCATGCCCAACTTAAAACCCAGGACACACCTTGTCAATGAAAACTTTCACAAATCCTCTTGCACATTACTAAATATCCTCTAGAATCTTGGCCTCTGTGTTAAACAAATAGCATGCTGCTAAAAATCACTTTCATACTCTAAAGCAGCCATTCTCATCCTTTGTTTTGGCCTTTGACATAAACATAATATGAAAGAAATACAGGCCAAATCAGGATTGTATAAGTTATATAACAAACCTTATAAGGTGGCATGTGAATAATTGTTCAAGTCACTATCCCCCTTCAAATGTGTCAGGGCCCTCCAGGGCCATAAGGCCCCCATTCAGAATGGCTGCTCTAAGGTAAGTATTATGCCACCATTCAGAGGGTTTAAACTTTTCTCACATATATCCATGATGATAGTAATGGAGAGGTCTCTCCCCCCTCCCCTACCAGTTGATTAATTTTTAGATTTTAAAAACATTGATTAAGGCCTTTCATACTTACTTTAGAGTGATATTTAGCTAACTACTATTTATATTTTTATACTAGCTTTTGGGATAAAGAATGACAGCACAGAGATACTGGATCTCAGCAGAGCCAAAAAAATGTAACCATGGATCAAAATTTAAGTCAGAAGAGAAGTTGGGGGGCTCTAAAACTTATCTCAGTTTTTAGGTGGGATTCAGTTGTAAGACTTGTGGTAAAAATGGACACTCACTAGCCAAAATCCTTTGCCCTCCTACCTTGGAATAATGAGGCGAGAAGGGATGAAAAGAGGGCCACACTTACCATAACACTTTTCAACTCTTAGCCTCTTCAAAGAAGCAAACGGAGCCTGTGGTAGTGCGGAATAATGCTGGTAGCAAAGGTCTCACAGGACCCCTTCTTAACAATGGGCGAGTGTCCAGCCCGAGGTAGTACGGTCTCTATGGCTATGAATCCTCGGCCAGCCATGGTTTGACCACCCACGGGCCTCTAGTCACTTGTCTCTTGGTGACCTTTGGTCTAGAGGTCTCCCTACCGCGTTGTCCCCCCTGACCGTAATCTCATGATCTCATGAGGGTTCAGCCGTTCTATACCCCGCTTGAACTTCACAGGGAACTCACCAATCCATTTTCATTCCACAATACCCACCAGTGTGACCAAAGCAATCACCCTATAAAAGGCCTTCAAACCCTTTGCCAGATCCCTGGACGCAACTGCCAATCAGTGAATGGGTAAAAAAAAATCCTATCTGGCCTCAGTGGTGACCAGTGAAGCTCATACTAGCCAACAGGGTGGGTGGGATGCAAGCCACAAAAGAGGCTGATTGGGAGAGCAGCACCTATTAAGGCCCATTCCCAGATAGTTGGGGTGTGAATATCACATCTCACACTATTCCAGCCAGGAGGGCAAAGACACTCCATGTGGCAAAGTTCCTTGCCAGCGGAGTGCGCCATTTGGTTAGCATTGTTAGTTACACTAGAGTAGATTCAGTATAGTAAGTTGCATCTAGAGTTGCTTATTTGAATAAATGCAATTTATGGAGGAGGGGCTCGCCACATCCCAACAAATTTAACTGGTCTATTTGAGAGCAACTTACTATAGTAAACAACAGAATTTGAACCACAGATTTCCATCTCTACACTAATAGTAATGAACATCCAGAAGCTGTTTTGATATCCAGTTCACAACTCAATTGATATCTCTGTTTCACATGAATCTGCCATAGGCTGATTATAACAGCTTCCAATTTAACGTTTGCAAAGGAAAAGCTTCCATGGCTTCACCTTCTCACCATGTTTCCGTGTATCCTATATATTCTGTATTATGCAGAATCCAAACTAACTAGCCTTCGGGCTTCACCTTTTACTTAAATTCACTCCCAAAATGGAAACAAAACTGTAATCATGACCAAACAGGGAAATTAGATATACGTATCATTGTTTTGGTTTTAGTTCCCTGCAAATATCCTGCAGCTTAAACAGATATTTTTTATTCTCCTAGTAACTTACTTTGTTTTTATACTCCCTCATTTCAGCTTGCAGATTGTCAATATACTCTCCCAGTCCTTCATTGAATTTTATAATATAGTCATCCTTCATTTTTTCACAGACAAGAACAGTTGATTGAAGATTTTGGAGTGTGCGCACAACAGTCTGATAGAGAGCAAGTTGCTGAAGTGGAAGAAAGATATCATAGTCCTTTGCAATAAAGTAGAGCTCGGAGAGACTATTATATTGCATCTGTATTTTGGGTAATTGTGAAGAAACTACATGGAGATATTGCAAATGTTCAATGAATCCATCGACAGTTGTGAGCTCTTTGCTCAAGTTTGCTACTGCTGTCCTTGTGACCTAAATGAAATATTAATAAAATATTTCAATATACACTCTCAAAAGTATAATTCTGCACAACAATGGATATGAAACTGTGCTGCTTCTCTTGCAGCATGGATAAGCAGGCCTAATGAGACACTTAAAGGTGATGTGATAAGTTTTCAAATGTGAGGAATTTATAGTAGGCAGCTGTAGAACCACTTGCCTCCCAGCATCAAAGGTTTACCCTTGCAACCAGCAAAATCAAAACTGCCATGCCAACCATAGAAGGCAGAGGAATGTAGAGAACTGCTTAGACCTAGCACAGCTTCTAATGAGGATGTAACTGGTGTATTTCCAAATGGAGAACTCTCAGCTAGTGGTGTTGCCAGGGTGGTGCACACCTGGACAATCAGATTTGGCCATGACATGACATCACTGGATAAATCAAGGAAAACATAAAATATGGTCTATCACCAAGTTATGATTCCCATTTTGACCTAGAATTGTACATTATCCTACCAGTAAAATATCCACCTTGTTCTGGGTAATTTTCCACATCCAGTTTAAAAATAATTCTAGTTTATCAGAAGCTATCTACACATACCCAAGCATGGTCTCAGCATACTGAGTAGTAAATTCATCATAACTCTTCTGAGGCCCAAACTATAAACTACAAGTGTTATTGTTATTATGAGATGCTAATTTCGTACAGATATGAAGTAAATAGAAAACATTCTTTGAGTGCTGAATATCTTTGATTGCCACACTAGACGCTTCTCAACCAAACTAAGTTTGAAAATTTGTTTTGTATATTGTGGTTTGTATATTGTGATTGGTTGTCAGGTGGTTTTATTTGCAAGTATGATTGCTCAGTCGCTAAGGTCTGTCTGAATGATATACCTGGAACACTAATTAATTTCAGCTTCTAATGTTAGGTTATTTGCAATGTTTTCATTGGCTCTCATTTAAGCTAAGTCAGAGAGACCAGACTCAGATGCAAGAGCAACTGGAATATTTTCCCTCCAATGGTATCATTCCAGCACAGACTATCAAAATAATATATATAGGCTTAAATAGGCAGGTAAGCAAGTATGAAACAAGTGACATCATTCTAATATTCTATCATTTTAATTCAGCTCAGGAGGGGCTTGTAATATTAACAGTGCAAAAGAGCAGGTGGCAGCCATTGTATAATAGATCTCATAAACTGGTATTCACAGGTTACCAGATCAGAACATATTATTAATGCCAAAGTCAGCCTTCCACAATGTGGCACCTTCTAAATGTTTTTTGTTTTGACTTAATTCAACATTAATTCCATCTATCTAGACAAGACTTATTCAGTTGTGTCTAGATAATGGTTCTTCTAGTGGACCTCTGTGAATCATTCCAGTAAAACTAATTTTAAAACAAAGGGTTAAATCCAATTAGACTTAACTTAGTCTCTATGAAAGTGCATTTGTTCAACAAGTCTATCTATCTATCTATCTATCTATCTATCTATCTATCTACCTACCTACCTACCTACCCCCCCACCTTTCTCCTTAAAAAGGACCCAAAGCACTTTACATCATTAAAAGACAATATTTGGAATTAAAACAGCAAGTATACAAACACTAAAAAGGATTAAAAAATTCCACAGTAAATAATCGTAAACAAACGCAACACCAAAACACCCTCAAGGGAGTAAAGTACAACCACCCATTTAAAAAACTCACTCAGGCAGCCAGCTTCTCAGGGAAATTGTGCCGAAAGAGAAAGATTTTTGTCTGCTTGCCGAAGGACAGCAGAGTTAGCGCACACCTGGTATTCTGTCAGAGGAAGTCTCACAGTCTGGGAGCAGCAACAGAGGTCTTCTCCCATGTCCTCACCAAACACACCTGTGAAAGTGCTGACTGTGCTCTAGCTGGCAATAGCAACTGAATTTAGGGCAAAGTATACATTCAAATATAATTATTTTGGCCAGAATCCTGATCCCTACACCAATTTCTGGTATGTCCTCTTTCATGTGGATGATCAGCTGTGTCACCAGTCATGCAACAGAAAGCTTGGTTGATTGGGGAAAACAATAAGTGATTTTTCTTGCACATGTGCTTTTTGTCAGGAGAATTGTGGTCCTCTTTTAAGAAGAGCATGGTCTAGCTATTAAACATGAGTTAAATCTCCTGCATTGCCAACAAAAAGTGTTTCCCATATGACGTATTTATTGTAAGTTTCTGTAATGAAAAACTCTGATGCTTTGAGCATTATAGTGGAAATGTGGGATTAAAAAAATTAATTAAAACATTATACTCACTTCTACAAGTTGTACATTTTTTGAATCCATGGCTGCATAGAAGCAAGCATGAATTTTATTAAGCAGAGCTTCAAAATATGGCAGGCAGTCTGTCTGATACTGTAAACTTTTGACCTTAAACATACGAATACGTTTTTCTGTAACCATACACACAATTTCCTTTATATCAGCTGTATAGTTTTCCAGAATGTTTCTGAACTCTTGTGTAGACATCTCTCTTTTCAGTGCGGATATCTTGTCAGTTGTGTATTTTGCTTTATCTACCATATTGCAATATTCCATATAATTCCTGCTGTAACATTCTACTTGGCCCAATGAACAACTCTGAAGAGACAGAAGGCTTACAATCTATAAAATTAAACAGCAACAATTATAAACATTTTAATCTTTAATATCAGATAGATTTCATTCTATAATGATTTCACTTAAATATATTTATGATCTTCCAAAACTGTGATTATTGAATTACAGTAGATTGCCCACATTAGAATGTAAATTGGACAGGTATAGAGAAGGAGAAAGCTTTTTTCCATTTTTAAATTTTGTAGGATGTGTCCTGTAGTTAAACTACCTTCTCATAGCTTTCTAAAACAACAGGTGCCTTCTGCACTTGATTACACTCTTAGAAGGAAAAAGCATACAAGCACAGTAAGAATACAGTAAGCTATCATGAACACAAGCAATATGCCTGAAAACTACTACTTGATATTTTCCAATCCACAACAAATACAGCAAATCAGATGAAATGGAAGTAGTGCTGGGTGCAAGCTCTTCTGCCACCTGAGGCGGGAAGAGAAACACCACCATTCCTATTCCAATCACATCAATTTAACAGTCAACTTCAACTGATAGTACAGTGAAATAGAAAGGTTACCTACCTGTAACCATGGTTCTTCTAGTGGACCTCTGTGAATTCACACAAGTGAGTTTCTTCTGCGCCTGCGCAGGACATCTCAGAAGTTTCTAGAGCTTGAAAAAAGATCTGTCAATGAGATAACCCCCTAGAGCACAAGCTCCGCCTCCTCAACCTTCCTCTCAGTTCCTCTATAGTCTGCTGCTATACGTATATAGACAACGTGACAGACAGAGGGGAAGAAGGGAGGGATTGTGTGAATTCACAGAGGTCCACTAGAGGAACCATGGTTACAGGTAGGTAACCTATCTTTCTTCGCCGTGGCCTCTGTGAATACACACAAGTGGGTGACTGACAAGCTCACTTACCAGATGGTGGGACATCATGGTAGCAGAGATGTCAGGAAAAGCCCTGGCAAAAGCAGCACCATTCTTCATCCTGACATCAAGGCGGTAATGCTTTACGAAGGTTGATGTTTTGGACCAGGTTGCTGCTTGGCATATGTATTGTAGTCTGATGTCACGGTGTAAGGCAGTTGATGTCAACATTGCTCTAGTAGAATGAGTCTTTAGCTGATCCAGACCTGATTTGCCTAATAGTTCATATGCTAAGACTATAGTCTGGACAATCCATTGGGATATAGTTTGTGAAGAGGCTGGAGCACCCTTGTTAGGACTGTGGAAAGACATGAACAGTCTGGGAGACTTTCTGAAAACTTTTGTCCATTTGGTGTAGAAAGACAATGCCCTACGGACGTCTGGCGTGTGGAGCTTGCGCTCTATAGATGCAGATGGAGATGGGAACAGTGCTGGTAAAATTATAGTTTGATTAATGTGGAAATTCAAAATCACTTTCAGAAGAAAAGATACATCAAGGTACATGGTAACTTTATCGGGATGAAATTTTAAGTATGGAGGATTTGACCTAAGGGCTGCCAGCTCTGACAGTTACGGTATTACCAGGATACACCAGGTGGCACTAACCAGTAGAACTTCCCTGAGAGATGAAGACACCAAGCAATAAGGCAATGTTGATAGCAGAATAGTTGTATTATTTACAGAATATATACACACATGTACAGCTTAGTCCTTGTTTCCAGTCCTGAAGTCACACACAGCGGTTTCCACAGAGTTCAATGCATAAATCAGAGTCAAAGTCCTTGTAAATTAGTTCAGCAGTCATATACCATATGTTCAGTCCAGTAGCCAGAGTTGTTCTTCCAATATACAGCACAAAGATACAGCTTCTTCCAGGATACTCCAGCACAACTACACCAACCCACAACACCTCACAGAGTGTGTGTGTTAGGTCTGCTAGCTTTATCCCAGGGATAACCAATCCTGGGATTGCTCTCTCAGCTGTTACAATTACCTCAGCTGTATAAATTCTTGCTTTGCTTCTTTCTACAGCAATGATCCTTACAAATACTTATTGCTTTAGTACAAAACTGTATTTAACAATTCCTCCAGGTTTCTCCCAAACCTGTCAAGCTCGTTGGCTCTTTTGGCAGATGTAATTGCGACCAAGAAAATTGTCTTTAAAGATAATAAATTTTCATTGCATGTAGCCATTGGCTTGAAGGGTTCATTAGTGAGAGAATGTAGAACCAGTTGTAAAGACCATTGCGGTACAATTTTTTGTATTGGGATCTTATATTTTGAAGAAATTTTCATGAAACTTTTCAGGATAGGATGAAAAAACAATTTAGGTGATTGATGTTGAGGTGATTGGTGAGCTACAATCACTGATCTATAGACTTTAATGGTGGAGTACGAGAGTATGAGGTCAAATAGATGAAGAATGAAGGTAAGTATTATTTTGAGTGAGGTTGAATTTGAAGAAAGATCCTTAGATTCCGTAAATTTCTTGAAACATTTCCATTTGTTCTCACAGAGCTTTATAGTGGAAGTTTTCAAGCTCGATCTAGGATTCTCTTATATGCGGGATTATCCTCCACGCCGTCCGTCTCAGAGATGGAATGTCTGGATGTAGGATCGACCTGTTGTTCTGGGGAAAGGTTCGGTATCGGCAGCAGGTGTAATATGCCTATTGCCATCATTTTGAGGTGGGTGAACCACAGCTGACGTGGCCACCATGGGGCAATAATTATGGTGTCTGATTGACATTGTCGTATCCATATGATTGTCTTCTGTATTAATGGAATTGGTGGGAACATGTATAGCAGTTGATCTGACCGGTCTAGCATGAAGGCATCCCCAAGTGATTCGGGATTGATACCGGCTCTTGAACAGTATCTGGGACATTTGGTGTTGTGTCTTGTTGCAAAAAGGTCTATCGAAGGGCATCTCCATCTGTGGCAGATTGTCTGAAATGTGTAGTCGTCTAGTGTCCACTCATGTGTTCGGGTTGGTAGTCTGCTTAGATGAGTAGTTAGGTAATTTTCTTCTGTTGCAATGAGAATGGCAATTGGAAAGATATGGTGGAGGTAACATCATTCCCATAATTCCACTGTGAGGTATAACAGGGATAGTGAATGTGTGCCTCCCTGCTTGTTAACGTAGCACATAGCCATGGTCTTGTCTGTGGCTAGTTGAACTATCCTTCCTTCTATACGTGGCAGGAAGAGTTTCAAAAGAAACTCAATCTGGTGGTGGACGATATTGGCAATTACAGGCCCATCGCCAACGTTTCTTTCATTAGCAAAGTGGTAGAGAGGGTGGTGGCCGATCAGCTTCAGGCGCACTTGGATGAAACAAATGCCCTGGACCCGTTCCAGTCCTTCAGGTCATGCCATGGTACAGAAACGGCATTGGTCGCCCTGTATGATGACCTATTGAGGGAGGCTGACAGGGGGAAAACTTCTCTGTTGGTCCTCCTCGATATCTCAGCCGCCTTCAATACCATCGACCACGGTATCCTTCTGAGGAGGATCTCCAAGTTGGAAATTGGTGGCTCAGCGTTGGCTTGGCTCCGATCCTTCCTGGGAGATCATCCTCAGAGAGTTCAGTTTGGCGAGTGAGTCAGCCCCGTGGAGCCTCAACTGTGGGGTTCTGCAGGGCTCGGCTATCTCCCCAGTGCTCTTTAACATCTATATAAGGCCGCTGGGTGAGGTCATCAGGGGGTGTGGAGTGGCATGTAATCAATATGCTGATGACACACAGCTCTACATCTCCTTTTTTCCAACTACAGTGGATGCTGTTCTGTCCTTGCAGCGGTGCCTGGGGTCTGTACTGCGATGGATGCAGGAGAATGGACTGAGGCTGAACCTGGACAAGACGGAGGTCTTGAGGGTGGGCAGACCCACCATCAACGGTTTGGGGAACTCCCTCTCTTTTGGGGTGTGTGACTCTCACCGCGAAGAGTGAGGTTCGCAGCTTGGGGAGTCATCTGGACCAGGTACTTACCACGGAATCCCAGCTGGCATCCGTGGTATGATCCGGCTATTTCCATCTGTGGTGGATTGCCCAGCTGCGTCCCTATCTAGATGGGGGGGTCGCTCACCACTCTGGTCCATGCGCTCGTAATCTC